CGTTCTCCAAACACAGGTCGCGAGACGCACTGAGGGCCGGGCTGGTCGCGAGGAGGTCACGCCAAAGAGTCAGTGAAAGGCGGTCGCCTGAGCAAGGTGAGAACGGATCTGCGGGCTGTTGGCCTCAAAAGATCCACACACGCAGTTGTTGCAAGCGCAAGCGAAAACGCGATCGACCTGGGTGCCCAAAGCATTGGGAAAAACACCACTGGTCGCAACAATCGGCCGCGGCTCACAGCTTCTCGCATCGCCAAACTCTCGGAAGATGGGCCAAGATTTCAGCCAAAATTGCTACGGACAGGCAGATATATGCCCCGACTCTTAGTCTTTATCTGGAAGACACAACGGCTTCGTTCAAAGCCCGGACCATTTTTCCGAAATATCCCGGATATTTCGATAGTCGCACTCCAGACCATTTTTCCGAAATATTCCGGATATTTTGACGACAGCATTTCCCGAAATATTTGGAATACTTCGGGAAAATGGTCCCCGAAATATTCTTTCGGGAAAATGGTCCCCGAAATATTCGGAATATTTCGAGAAAATGGTGGATGGCTGCGATTCCCGGACCGCTTCGCTTTCCCGGAATATCTGGAATATTTCGGGAAATTGGTCTCTACAAAAAGTGAAGCCACTATGTCTTCCGCACATATGCCGGGGTAGCCCGGACAGATTTGGGCAAGCGGTCCGTAGGAAATATGAAGCGGTTACATCTTCCAGGGGCAGTCCAGACCAATTTTCCGAAATATCCGGGATTTTTCGGGAAAGCGGTCCGGGAAAACGCGCGCAAGTGCGACGAGCAAGTTTCACGGTTTCGTTTTATAGAGTAAAGATATAGCTAAATGCCGTCTCCTAATACCTTTCATATGCTAAATATATCGAAATAACAAAAAATCATTAACCCGCCTAAAATTAATAATCCAATTATAAAACATAAAGCATATTCATATTTTTACATTAGCATTGTTTTTTAATATTTATTATACAATTTACTTCATTTTAACATATCAATCGTCAACACAACTAACACATTTTCTTTAATTCATCAATACTTATTTAAAATATATTAACAAAATAATAATAAACAATTATATTCCATTCATAGTTAAGTCTTTTATATATTAAATATATATCGAATTCTAATTATGTAAATCAATTAATCTATATATATATATACACATTACGGCCACTATGCGGGTACCATTTTTCCACCCGCAGACAAAGACAAATTACGAAGAAGCGGATCTGCGAAGACGAATTGTCCGAAGACGAATTCCCTCCCGAAGACGGTTTACCACCCGAAAACGAGGTCCGAAGACGAATTGTCCGAAGACAAATTACTTCCTGAAAACGAATTCCGAAGACGAACTGTCCGAAGACGAAATAGCTCCCGAAGACGAATTACTTCCTGAAAACGAATTCTGAAAGACGAATTGTCCGAAGACGAATTCCCACCCGAAGACAAATTCCGAAGACGAATTGTCCGAAGACAAATTTCCACCCGAAGACGGTTTACCAACCGAAGACGAGGTCCGAAGACGAATTGTCCGAAGACGAATTCCCACCCGAAGACGAATTACTTCTTGAAAACGAATTCCGAAGACGAATTCCCACCCGAAGGCGAATTGCCTCCCGAAGACGAAGTCCGAAGACGAAGTGTCCGAAGACGAATACCCTCCCGAAGACGAATTACCACCCGAAGACGAATTGTCCGAAGACGAATTCCCACCCGAAGACGAATTACTTCCTGAAAACGAATTCCGAAGACGAATTCCCACCCGAAGGCGAATTGCCTCCCGAAGACGAAGTCCGAAGACGAAGTGTCCGAAGACGAATACCCTCCCGAAGACGAATTACCACCCGAAGACGAATTGTCCGAAGACGAATTCCCACCCGAAGACGAATTCCGAAGACGAATTGTCCGAAGACGAATTTCCACCCGAAGACGGTTTACCAACCGAAGACGAGGTCCGAAGACGAATCGTCCGAAGACGAATTCCCACCCGAAGACGAATTTTCCTGAAAACGAATTCCGAAGACGAATTCCCACCCGAAGACGAATTGCCTTCCGAAGACGAAGTCCGAAGACGAAGTGTCCGAAGACGAATACCCTCCCGAAGACGAATTACCACCCGAAGACGAATTGTCCGAAGACGAATTCCCACCCGAAGACGAATTGCCGCCCGAAGACGAAGTCCGAAGACGAAGTGTCCGAAGACGAATACCCTACCGAAGACGAATTACCATCCGAAGACGAACTCCGAAGACGAATTGTCCGAAGACGAATTCCCACCCGAAGATGAATTGCCTCCCGAAGACGAAGTGTCCGAAGACGAAGTGTCTGAAGACGAATACCCTCCCGAAGACGAATTACCATCCGAAGACGAATTCCGAAGACGAACTGTCCGAAGACGAATACCCACCCGAAGACGAATTACTTCCTGATGACGAATTTGCCCCCGAAGACGAATTCCGAAGACGAATTGTGCGAAGACGAATTGTCGGAAGACAAATTCCCCCCAAAGGCGAACTACCCCCGGAAGACAAACTCCAAGGACGAACTAACCCCGAAAAAGAACTCCGAAGAAATATCCACTCGAAGACGAAATGCACCCCGACTATATGCCGGTTGCAAAGATGTGAAGCCTACGATTTCGAACACAAGCAAGGACCGAGTTGTGAAACGAAAAGGAGAAACAAAGAGGAGGACGTGAAGCGAGAGGAGGACCCGAAGGATTGAAACGAAACTGTGGGGGAAAGCACCACGACATGTATCGTAGGCAGATGCCGGTTCAAGCAAAGGCACAGTGTTGAAATAGTCAAAGCGACAGGAAACAGCAAGATGTATCACAGCTTGCTTCTAGGCGCGGGTTACATGTGCGCGTTGTTGTTGCTTTCCCCTTGGCTCAATGCGCGCTAGGGAGAGCACAAGATGCTCAAACCCTACGCAGTGAAGCACATCGTTTCTTGCAGCTGATGGAGGGCAAGTGTGCCTGCCATGAGGTGGCAACTGCAAAGTCAGACCACGCAGCCTGACAAATAAAGATCTTGTTCGGTAGCTATCTTTCTCATCTCCCCTCTTAAGCTATGGGCTCCCGGTCATCGTCAATTCAAGGAGTTCAATGTCGGTTGCAGTCATGACCGCTGCATGCACGGATGTCTAAGGGACTCTTCCCGTTGGAGGCTCGAGGGCTGCACGTTGTTGTGGGTGTCCCAATGCGCGCTAGAGCAGAGCACAAGATGCTCATACTTAGCTCAAACCTACGCAGTGAAGCACATCGTTTCTCGCAGAGTGCAAGTGTGCTTGCCATGACTTGTCGCGTGTGGACGCTTCGCACAAGAGTTTGCAAACACGTGGGTTTATTATCTATGTTCCTTGAGACCTTTCCCGTGAATCTAATGGTGTCCCATGAAGAGCCTGCGTCCTGTTTGTCCCTCCCGTTTCTTCTTGCCCAAGCCCATGGCAACACCCCACCCTGTCCATGAGAAGACCATGGCCTTCATCGCAAACATGTAATGAATATCAAGAGGTCGTGTGTCCCCACCCAATGTGTCGTTACAATGCGTAGCCGCCGGGTAATGCGTCGTCAGGAGGCAATGTGCCGTCACCCAATGCGTCGTCACAATGCGTCGCTACCGGGTAATGCGTCGTCAGAAGGGAATGTGTCGTCACGCAATGTGTCGTCGCAATGCGTCGCCGCCGGGTAATGCGTCGTCAGGGGGCAATGTGTCGTCGCCAAATGTGTCGTCACAATGCGTCGCCAAGGGGTAATTCGTCGTCAGGAGGTAATGTGTTGTCACCCAATGTGTCGTCACAATGCGTCGCCACTGGGTAATTAATGCGTCGTCAGGAGGTAATGTGTCGTCATCCAATGTGTCGTCATCATGTGTCGCCGCCGGGTAGTGCGTCGTCAGGAGGTAATGTGTCGTCACCCAATGTGTTGTCATAATGCGTCGCCGCGTTAGGAGGTAATGTGTCTTCACCCAATGTGTCGTCACAATGTGTCGCCACCATGTGTCGCCACCGGGTATTGCGTCGTCCGGGCTAATGTGTCGTCACCCAATGTGTCGTCATGGTGCGCTGCCAACAAATGTGCTTTCAAGCAATGTGTCGTCAGAATGCGTCGTCAGCGTCAGGGCGAACAGTTATGTATATATATATATAAAGTAAATCAAGATAATTCAACATAAATATTGAATTATAGATTAAACAACATACTATAAGTTTAATGTTAATCTAATTTATAACGTAAACTCAAATGTTGATGCAAATGCAGAGCTATTGCAAAGGCAACCGCGCAAATCTGGGATGGATGCAGGGGCACCCCGGTGGCATCAAGCGAATTGCAGAAACCCGGAGAAGTTCCAAGAATACAAACAAGTTTCTGGAGAAAAGTACGTAACACAATTCATGGGATTTCCCTGCTTTGACATGACACTTTGCTCCCGGCACTCCAAAAGGGCCGGCGCCCAGACACTGAAAATCTAGGGGCGTATGGGCACCCTCTGTCATCATCAAGACGCACACCTCTTTGCGCAAGAGAATATGTGCGCCCAGAGTATCAAATTTCCGGAAACTTTAGGCGTCTGGCTGCGCGAAATGGCAGCCTCCCCGTCTATCATTGTTCCTCAACGCTTCCGTAGTGACGGTTTTATTCGCGCGCGCACTCTCATGACGCAGTTCTAAATCCAGCAGCTCATGCTTGATCTATCTTGGGATGTGACACTACACTGCGAAAAGCTAAGCAGGAGACGCCAAAACAACCAAGACATTTTGGCAGGGAGACAGGCACTAAGTGCAGATTCGTAATCACCAGCTCAAGGCTTTGCATAGACCGCCTCCCTGAACATCGCCACAGAACACAACCACAACTTTCGAACATTTGCACATTCAAATGTGAAGGCCATGCTGCCTTGACACCGGGGCTCTGCATTGAAACAAATCTGTGGGCTGCGCAGCTGCGCTCAGTTTCAAGGGCAAGCAAGACAAGTGTCATGCTTCACAGTACACCGCGATGTCCTGGATGAGGAAGAGAATCCAGGATTAAGCGCCTCTGCTGTCAAGCATTGAACTGCGGCCGCTATCGCGAAGCAAGGCACAACAATGCACTGGCACACAAGAAGATCAAAGAAGCAGTGGTAGAGACGGTAGAGTGAAAGAAGCTAAGGGTAGCACTGACTTGAGCCCGGGCCAGTGGAAACTGGCCTGCCGGCACTCCTGTCGGCATGGAGGGATTGTCAGGGCTACTCTGTCATGTTAGGCCAGGCCTCAAACCGTGAACAGCAGCGTTGTCCGAGCGCCGACCTGCGAAAGGCAATGCTTTTCACGATATGCGCCGGGTGCAGAATGCTTCGCAGCATTCCTTTGCCCGGGCTGATGCAACGAAGCGGCCTGAGGCTGTGATGGAACGAGCCTTTCCCGACACTCGGGGGCACCTGCGTGCAACATATGGAGGCGAAGGTTGCATCAAGTCGCCCTCTGAATCCATGACCAGCTGGGTGTGGCACTCTGGCAATCTCAAACTCGCATGCTGTTGCCTCAGCAAGCGGCAATGTATTCAACCGCGAGCGGAACCGAAGCTGATGCACATCTAAGCCTCCATCGGAAAGGCAGGTGATGCGGGCTTTGAGGGATCTTGTGCTCGGCTGGCCTGGCACAAGCTGAGCTGCCCCTGCGAAGTCCATCCCAACTATGCAGACTGTGCACCTCCAACTTGCCACGCCGCTGTGTGGAAGGGCCTGCGCGACCAAATCAGACCAGGTGCGTCCCCCCTGGAGATTCTGGCCCTCTAATCATGCTCAAACATGCGGACTAGGCCTCCTCCAAAAAGCGACTGCAGCATGCTCGTCCTCCAAAAAAAGTTGGAAACATCATTTGCGATGAAATCACTTCACCACATGACATGCTTCCAAGAATCCTTCGTATATGGGGATCTTTCACAGGTGCTGCCGCCGGTGCGGATGAAGCACTGGCTTCGCCAGAATTCAAGCGAACCTCAGGGCTGAGACGTAAACAAGCAAAACCGATCCTATGCCCAGGGCAGGCGCCACAACTGCTGTGATGTCGTCAGACATCTGCCCCTCTGTGGCTACCTGCCACCGGTGTCGCGCTATTCCTGGCACGGCAGGCTGCTTCGCAAAACCTTTGGCTACACCCATGGGGAAATCATCAGGCTCTTGTTCTTTCGCCTGATTGCCCCACCCCCTGGACACTGTGGTCCCTGGCACTTTGCCACAACACATGTCGGCGAAACCTGCAATTTCGCGTGCTGCTGCTTTGGGATCGTCAAATTTTCCAGCTATGTCCACGGCCTGTGGATGCTTGATTCGCTTTCCAGGCATGCTTTTCCATTGAGCAGCCTTTGCTGTGGTGACGGTGACATGGGCCAATGAATGAGATAAATTTGACATGCCACGTACGTTTCAAACATAAACAAAATATGAACTTCCAAGGCCCAAGGCTAAGTTTGCCTACACCACGAACACAAGAACATGGGACATATGCTATCATGATTCAGTCATGCAAAGCGCCAGGTGCCTCTTGCGAGCTCACATGGTCCCAAACACCATCAGTGGCCAATACAAGTACCTCTGCAGCATATGCACGTGCTCGGATGACACGTGCCCACACTTGTTGGCAATGTGCCTTGTCTCTGCTGTCCAGCTTTCGCTCGATGACTTCAGGCTGGGAAATCACCTCGTACGTGCATGTCGCAGAGGATTTCAAGCTGCAAATGAAAGCAATCTGTTCTTAAACTATTTAAAGTGTAAACTTCTCATAGCTATCAATGTAACATCGTTGAACGTATGCAACACATACTGCCCACCTTGAGTTGACATGAATCAGAATCAAGGTTGACATGTTTCACAATCAAAACCTTGTATCAAAATGGCCTACCCAAAACCATGTGATCACCAGCAACACGAGTGACACGGGTGGGCAGCGGCCAAACGTCTGCAACAAAACGGACGGGTGCGACTCGCAGCTGGATGGTTCAGAGACACTCTTGGTGTAGCAACAGCACGTGCGCAGCGTGCGCCGCGCAGCAAGCATAAAGCATGCAGTTCATGTCTGGCTATGCGTTTATCCACAAGGGACCCCACCCCATTGCACACGCACACACACACACACACAAACCCACACACACACACACAGCCACGCGCGCACGCACGCACGCACGCACACACGCGCGTGCGTGCGCGCGCACCCACCCACCCACCCACACACACACACACATGGGCCGATTGTTTGAGGGGATGCCTTCCCCACCATAGTGTGAGCCGCGCAGCAAGCATAAAGCACGCAGTTGATGTCTTGCTGCGCGCTTGCCCACCGGCCCGCTGCTTCGGCGGGACCCCGCTCCAACGCACACAGTTGGGCCAGTTGCCTGCGGGGATGCTTTCCCCACTGGCCACGCGCGATCAATGCAACTTTAGACAAGCCGATGCGACTTAAGTCTACCCCGTGGACGTGACGCAAAGCAAGAGAGCTGTGGCATCTTCATCCTACTTACCAGAATGCTGGGCAAGCCGGTCACAAAGTCAGGTCGCGGTCGGAGCCGTGCCTGAGGGATTGCAGCCAAAGAACCCAACAACAACATCGAGGGCAACAAGTGAGGCAACTTGAAAGACGAAGAAAGGACTGTTCTGCTCTTGCCCCCAAGATGGTTTAAATCACAAGGAGGAGGGCAAGAGCTAGAGAGGCTCTGCCCCAGGCGAGACTGCAACGGAGCAAATCAGGTATCAAGTGGATCGGCAAGACGCGTGAGCCGAGACAGCGTTTTTACTTTCACTGCACTCACAGCTATCGAACTGCGCGCTTGGCTAAACTAAAACCGGCATGCTTGCGACTCATATTATCTTGGGCATGCGGTCCTTTGGCAGGTGTATGTTGCTTTGGAAAACAGTGCGACAAACGGCTAAATGCAGCGAAGCCACGTAAGGATGCAGCCTGTCCCACGGCACAGAAGCCAACAATTATAACTCCCAACGCTTAACAAACCATGCCTCAAATCACCAAGTGAACGGGACATTGCCAAACCGCCCATGCCTGGAAGATTACAACTTGCAAATGCTTAATGCAAAGGCCAATCAGCTCACGACCTTGCTTGTCCATGACTCGCTCAGGCCCTGCGCAAAGGGTGCTGCTCACAACCGCGCACACTACCAGTTCCAAAGCATCTAGGCGTGCCTGCTCGTATCCACCTAACGCCACCTCTCTGTACGACAGGAATTGCCATCTGATCCACCTGTTTGCTTGAAGTTGCCAAACTCACAGTAACTTGCAGCATGTGCACCGCCCCCTTGCGTTGCAAGGTTGCTCCTTTCTGGTGCAGCACTGGTGTGGCACACATGCCGTCTACATGCCCGACTGCAGCCAAGCTGCAGTGCCGCCTGCTGCCATAATTCGCTGGCGCTCATCTGGTCGTGCTGGCTTCCTCAGCTCATGCATTGTTCCATTTTCGCATACATGAGTGACGCTTGGAGCTTCAAGATCTAGGCTGCGCTCTGGTCAACGGACAGGTCCACAGCCGATACTGTTTGACGAGCTGGGGTACTACACCGACCCAGGACAGCCCGCGAGTCGCCCACCTTCATGCAATGCGATGCCACATCCATGCTCAACAAGTGCCTTTAGCCTTGCTGCCTACTTATGCGCATCTGAGAAGTGGACATTCGCGACCACCAAACGGTTTCGATGCCTTGGCACACTGAGCGGCATGCAGGTGAACAATCGGTAACAAGGATTGGTTTCATGGGCAGTGCTGTTCGGAAGTTGCATCAATCATGCTCTGGTGGAAGTGCTGCCAAAGTGATGAGGGGCCCACGGTCCAGGGGTGCGGTTGATCAAACACAACGAATGCCTTAACCCTTTTGCTCTGCCTCCTGGTGTTGAGGTGTTGCACTGCACGTACGTGGTTCTGTCTCTCTCTATCCCTCTCTCGGAAGTGGGGCTAGGGTTGCCCGGGTTGGCCTCCAAACAAATTTGCACGGCGCACATGTATGGACCCAAAGTGTTTGCCTCAAAGCAGCATCTAGCTACCCAACGCCCACACACCAGAACAGGACAACCCGAAATCCAAGCCTTCCTAGTACACCCAAATTGATCCGACTGGTTTTCGCATTCACGCGCCGTGCCTAAAAGAGACATTTTTGTGGCAAGGGGCTGATAAGCGGTGATAGCAGTCGTGCCAGATAGTTCAGCTTGGTGGCGATGATCTTTCTCAATCCTCTCCTGGAACAACTTGGCGCCGAAAATTAAACGACTTGGTGCAAACTGCGTCTCCGCAACTCGCCTGGGTGTCCCGGAAGGCGGCCTGGCACAACTTTCCGCCAATCAAAATGGTTCCAGGGGCCCAACCCACCTGGATGGCAGCGACCGGCTCTGTGTGGATATCATTGTTGCTGAACAAGCTCTTACTCAATGCCTCGGCAGTGTCGAGGCTCCGTTGGACTTTGTCTTGCATCTATGCATCCGAGGGCGGTGCTTGTTTGGCAAAGTGTGACATTTTCTTGCCTTGATCTCCATGACCATCAAATACCTACAGCTGGTGCTTAGTGCATCGCCGTTGAAGGCAAAACTACCATCATTAAAGGATTATGCTGAGGCTGCTGCACCAACAAAGCATTTTGTGCCGCTTTCGCTGCATGAAGTGAAAAAGGCGTCCTGAAGCGGACTCCACCGAATAGACACTGCCGGCAAAGCGAGCATTGCACGTGTAGCGAGAGTAGCTGGGCTCAAGCTGGCTGTTCGGCTCCTGATTTTCATCGCCCTTTCCGAAATTCGCAACGCTCCACGCTCCGACTAAAGGCTTTGGTGCCTGGACATCTCCTGCAGCAGTTCGGGCCACGGCCAAAGTGATGTGAGAGCAACGACCTGGACCTGTCACGCGCAGTATCCGATCGCTGCGTCCTTTTGGACGCAAGCCGGATGGAGTTGCAGGCGGGTGTGGTGCTGGGCCTAAGCAACAGCATATGACAAATACCGCCAAACCATCCTTACCACGTCAATGTGAATTGTGCGTGAGGCCAGGACCATGACTGCCTTCAGCATTGAACCTGAGTTCAACGCATCATAAGCAATTTGGAAAGAGTCGTTCGAGAGATGTTGGCTTCCGTTGCTGCTGAGGGGCATGGCCGCAGCATTCTTGTGCAAGCGAAAGGAACGCTTGCTTGAGCATCAAACATTGTGCGTAGGCTTCACTGGACATTTGCACTTGGCCCAATGTTGCTTCCCACTTCCTGTTAAGCGTGCTGGAGCATGGGCCATAAATGCATGGACAGGGCCTGTCGAGAAACTTGTGGACAAGCAATGAGGCCAGCATGAGGCGTTGTGCGGCTGGCAAAGCAAAGGCCAAGTCATCTACGACAGTGATAACCGACATTGGAATGCCCCACCAAGCGCAGCTATAGAAGAGCTTCTGCCAATCAAACAACTCCCCTGCCAGCAAGCCTTGCAGGAACCACATGATGGCCCGCCTCCCACAAAAGACATAAAAAGTATGAAACTAAAAAGGCCAATGCCTTTCCAACCAGTGCGCTTCAGTGTCTTTGCGTAGCAGCTTGACCGCGACCCCAAAATCAACCGGCTTCGGTGGAAGATGCCATTCTTCGAACTAACACTTTCAATCTCTGGGCATCTGCAAATAGCATGTTTTGTCTCGCTGCTTGTTGAAGCCAATGCCCAGTTTCGTCGACTTCGCTTTTTTGCGAGCCAAGCTGGGCTGCCCGAGGCAGCAAGGGAGATGCTTCTCATGTTGCTGGTCCAAGTTCTCCACGTTAGCGTAGAAGAACCGCGTTGCCAACAGGCAAACTCACAATGCTCGCAACCACAAGTAACATCCAGTTGTCTTCCGGGGGCAACATCTGGAAGCAAGAGAGAGTAGGAGTCACTCGTCCTCACTATCAAGAGCGTCGTCATGCACTATGGCTGGAAACGTGTGAGAAATTCCATGGGCAATGCTACCGTTAAAATTCTGATTCTCCAAGGACAACGGGTATGTATGATGGATGGCATGGAAGTCCACGCAGTGGAATCCCTCGCTGTTGATGGAGACGCAAGGGCAGTACGTCCTGTTCCAGAAGATGTCCTGGACAACTAAGGACTCATACAGCCAAGACACCGGTCACCGCTCAGCATGTTGTCACTCGCAACACCAATGAATCAAGCTTCGTCCAAAGTGTAGGAATGCCGGGCTTCGACAACAGCTCCAGTTGATTCTTCCGTACCGCTCAGCAGCACCAGCACTTCCAAATATGGCGATTGACTCCTGGGTTGGTGAATGGCATCCCTGTCCCGGTTGCCCATGGAGCAACAACTACACACCACAAGAGGCACAACCATTATACAGGGCAACACCATGAACAATGCGGCCTTGCAAAGAGGCGCTGGAATGCACGCTGGTGCAAGGCACACGTTTTAGAAAAGGTGCAAATAGTCACGCACCTCTGCAGCAGTCGGGCAGCCTGGCCTTGGGCTGTTTTTGTCCCATCATGTTAGCTCGGAGCTGTGATTCAAATGGCGCATTGCATTGTTTGAGTAGGCCAAAGGCCGTTTCACATGTGCTGGCCAAAGTGCGTGTCGGCTGGAACATCAGGCGCCAACGGGCTGCTGTAGTCTATTTTGTGAGACACCATTGCGGGCAAGCCTGGCACCGGGGTGCAGGCAAAGCGAACCACCTGTGATATGCAAAAGTACAGCTGGGCACCGGGGCACCGCGCCTAGAAATATTATCCCATTGTGAATATCGGTGTCTGGCTCCTCCAGCTGCACTGCAGCAAGCTCCACCCGGATTCCGCGCGGCTGGCTGGCATCGCGATGATGCTGCACGCAGTAGACTTGCCTCATGGCCGCTCACTCCCTTGCTTGCTCTCTCCTTCTCTCTCTGTATATCCCTTCCGCTCTCCCCGGTAATTATCCCCCTCTCTCCTCCCCCAGTCTCTCTCCCATATCTCTCCTCGTCCCTGTTTTGCATATGAGTGTCTTGTTTTGAGGGTACCGGTTAAAAGGAACATCAAAAGGACACCAACGATCTTGGGGGGCCCACGTTTTGAGGCACATCTATATGCGCGGCTACTACCCTGTCCTGGCTACTTCAGGCTGTCGTCATTCTGGTGAAACGCGCAAAACTGCTAACAACCTATGTTTAATAGGTGATACACAGATATGAACACGAGAGTGCCCCCCCCTTTTTGAAGGTAACATTCTGGCAGTGGCACCCCGTCTTGGTGAAGGTTGAGTTGTCTGGGAGTCCTTTCAACGAACATCGGGGCATCAGAGCTTCGTGAAGATCTTAGTGGGCCGCTTGAAGTGTATCTAAAGCAACCCAGCTGCATGGTGGCCTGCGAGAGCGGCCTCCAGGACATGTCCGCTACACGAAAACGGAGATAAGCACGACCATCTTCAACTTCCAGTAGCGCTGTATCACTGAAAATTACCGTGTTGGCCCGCGCATTTGCATTCGCCAGCTTCTGAAAAACCACTCCAATCACTGTAGCAT